AGAGCCCGGCAAGCTACCGAGAGTATCTAGCCCGCAAGGCAAAGCCTGGCAAGCTACCTGTGACGTATTCGATATGCCAAACACAGTAACAACAAAGTCTCACGATGGAGATGTTACTGTGCCTGCTTGAGCAAATCGATGAATAACGGGAGGACCGTGACTGTGACCGTGATAGGGGTAAGTCAAGGTATTAGAGTTAGGGTAAGAGGGTTTGGGCTAGGATTATGGTTAGGTACAGGGAGAGTGATAGGCTGAGAATGAAAATTAGGACTAGAGTAATTGGTTAAGTTGGGTCACGCATAGTATCATATTTATTATTAGGGTTAGAGTTAGGTTTGGAGCTAGAATAAGGATGAGAAATAGAAAAAGATAAGTTCTTGAATATTTGAATATGAAAGTTAGAATTAGGGAAAATGGTAGATTTAAATTAATTGGTATAGTTAGGCTAAGAGTAGGGTCAGTGTTAGAGTTAAGTTATGGTTAGAATTAGCATTTGGGATAGGATTAGGTATAGGAAAAGAGATAGTGTTTAGTTCTGATTATGTTTGAAATTAAAAGTGAAAGTTAGGATTAGTGCGAATGTTAACTTTAGTGGCATTGTTAAAGTTGGGCCAAATATAGTGTCATGGTTGTTATTACAGTTAGGGTTTAGGTTTAGTATAGGAAAAGGAAATATGTTTTAGGTTATCTATGGTAGAAGTTGAGTGTGATTGTTAAGATTAGGGTGAATGTTAAATTTAGAGTAATTTTTATGGTTAAGTCAATCCAAGGGTTGGGCTAATATTAGGATTATTGTTAGGGTTTGGTTTAGTGTTAGGGCTAGGGTTACCATTAGGGATAAAAAAGTAAAAGATCATGTTTAGTATTAGCTGTGGTTGAAGTTTAGAATAAATGTTAGGATTGGGGTGAACATTAAGCTTAGAGTAATTGGTAGTCTGAGGATAAAGCTAATATCAGGAATATTAGTGTTAATGTTAGGATTAACATAGAGTTAAAGTTAGGATTGGGGTTAAGGATAGACATAGAGTTTAACTTTGGCTGTGGTTGAAACTGAGAATGAAAGTTAATATGGTTAGAATAAGGTTAGAGTCTAGATTAGTATTAGTACTAGAGTCAGGATAGGGTTAGCATTAGGGTTAGGTTGAGACATGAAAAGAACTCTTGCTGTGGGTTGCTACACAGTTAGGCTTTTACAGGATTCAGTACTGGTTAGTAATTGATCATTGTTAACATTCATGGATTATAAATAGTAGTTTTTATACCACCTGCTGTTTTTGTATGTCTTGAAAATATCCACAGTAATGAATTTTAAAGAATTTTCAGATCAGTCTTAGACAGTGGGAATTTTTTGAGAATTGTTTCTTCAGTTGCTCGTGATGCTGACACTGTAAGGAGCACAAGACATCAGTGCTAGATTCTGGAACCTACTTCCTCCTTCTGTAGCTTTTTTTGTTTGTTTGTTTGTTTGTTTTTGCTTATTTTTTTTGCTTTTTGGGTCACACCCGGCGATGTACAGGGGTTAATCCTGGCTCTGCATTTATGAATTACTCCTGGCAGTGCTGGGAGGGCCATATGGGATTCTGGGGATCCAACCCACATCGGTCGCATGCAAGGCAAACGCCCCTACCCGCTGTGCTATTGCTCTGGCCCTCCTTCTGTAGCTTTTAGTTTATAAACAATATAATACTTTTAATAGAATTATGCCTGGCATAACTTGGAAAGTTACCTGTGGCATATTTGATATGCCAAAAACTGTAACAATAATTGGTCTCATTCCCCTGACCCTGAAAGAGCCTTCAACACAGCAACCTTGGGAAAGGCCAGTAAGGAGAGGCTGCTAAAATCTCAGGGCTGGGATGAATGAAGATGTTACTGGCACCCACTCGATTAAATTGATGAACAACAGGATGACAATGATATGGTGATAATAGAATTATAAGGCATTTGAGGAATGTCAAACAAATTAATTACTCTATCATTGAAGAGAGTTTAGAGCTCTTTCACAAAGGTTTGTATTCCCAGGGAAGACAATACTTGCTCTTGAAGTTGATCAAATATGACAGTACCATGGCCTTTGCTTAAGTCTTGTACAAAGCACTGTTCCCTCCAAATGCTTTCCAACTCTTTTGCCCAAAGGATCAGAAGAGTTGGAAAATGCTACCAGTCACTTTAAGGTGACAGTGAGGTCTTTGTTTTCATTGGGTCTAGTGATTCTCAAATCCTTTTCATAAAAACAAAATCACCAGTGAACGCCAACTCCAAATTTCATGTTATAATGTCCTTGACTGCCAAGCCTGAGGCTGCCATTGGATCTACTGGGATTCAGTGTACCATCTCCCCGCTCTATGCGTGCTTTTATTTTTTAAGGGAGATAGATGTCAAGAATCTGAACTCTAAAAAGCCCCACTTGAAATCCATCTTCTGGTGTTGCTTTGATAATTTATCCAGATTTTTTGTTTTGTTTAAGCAACATTTAAAGTGGATTTCACTCATGCACAATCTGTGTGTCTCTCTGAAAGGAACTGTGAATGGAATGCTATTTGATCCTTGATCTCTGAGGTTAGACAAGGAATTAGAAATATCTGAACTCTCCATTAGTCCCTAATCTTATCGTTCCAAATGTGTGCTTAATAAGAAGCAGAATCAATACTTCAGGTCAGGGTAAGTTCAGATGGTCTAGAATTCGTATGTCTAAAAATGAGGAAAAATAATTGACTCGAAGTATTTTAAAATACAGTCCCTGGTTAGGTAAATAATGAGTTTTAAACTTTTCTCAAAGACTGTCACTTACAGTGCTAAAGTTGAGAAATGTGTTGAACCAAATACTTGATTTCTATTTTAGTTCTTGCACCAAATACTTAATTTTACAAATAGTTAATTTGTATTTTAGTTCTTGCATTTAGATGGGTGAGGGGACCCCAAGCAAATAGTCTTTCCACTGTGATTCTTTTAAATATATGAGTTGAGTTTTTGCTGAATTCTAATCAATTCTTATCTTGACCCCGCCCCCAAATTGCGTCTAACCAGTAAGATCTAGAGGAATGAAAATTAATCAAAATATTAGTGTCTTCTTCTTATCTGAGAAGTTGTTATAAAATGCATCTGGCATACAGAAGAATTTTCTTGGGTTCATCTTTTCTAAGAGGTAGAGCCATTTCAGATGTGGCAGATGAACATAAAGGCACTCCTGCGATGTAGGCCACCTGTCCAGCTCCCCCCCTTAGAGGTACCTACCTCTCCTCACCTTGAGAGATGAGCATAGCTGCCAGGACCTAGGGCACGGGATACCACTGCTTTTGCCATGAGAAGGTTTCTACAGTGAAGGGATGCGAAAGCACACAATGAAGTTGGCTCTGGGCTCTGTGCTGCTCCTTTTGAATTCCTTCACATGTCTGGACCAAATCGTGATGGGACTTAAGAGTCCCTTTGTGCTGGAGAACTTGTACCTTAGCAGATGTTTGCCCATAGGAATCTAGGGTGACTGAAACATGAGGATTTTGTGGCTTGTTACACCTAGATCCTCTGGACTTTTGTGAGGCCTAATGTAAGAGGCTGGAGGGATGGAGGAGTTGGTGGGCATGCTAGGCCCCTTCATGGGAGGGCTGTGCAGAGAAGGGGAGTCATATTTAATGAGAACCAGCCACAGGGAAGACTCAGCCCTATTGGACTTAGGCAGCCCTGCCAGTGCAGTGTTATTGTCCTTATTTGGTGGGTGAGGGAGGGGGTTAGCAGTTGGCTGCAGGCCTCTCCTGGTTTACTGGTGGCCCAACCAATAGAAACAAAATGGTCTGACCTGCATCCACCCTCAGGAGAACCCCATCCCCCACCCCCATCACCACATTTGGCCATGACATATTTGACATAGCAGCCCCCTTTCAGAGAAAAATTCGCTCAGTGTCACCTTGGAAATCTAAGTTCTGGTAGTACTGGCATCATTCCCATCTCAGGGAAGACTCAGTCTTGCATTGTGGAAAACACTGGTCTAGTCACTCCCCAGCTTGTGTGTGTGGTAGGGAAGGCGACCTCAGTGTTTATGGCAAAACCAGACACAGGTGGGCAGAGCCCAGGGAAGGGAAGCATGCAGAAGGCATGGAACTAGTGCTGGACTGCAAGGTGAGCCGGGTGCAGAGACACAGGGAGTGGTGGCAGGAAGCAGGAGAGAGTGCGAGGAAGAGATGGCTCCCTGGGGCTTCTGGACAAGGTGCCACCTAGAAGCAGGACAGCAAGAGAAGAGGGCAGGGGAGGCCGTCACAGTGCCAGCTGGCTAAGGCTCCACCCAAGAGCTGAAGTGGCCAAGTGTCAGCCTATGGTTCTGCACAGATATCACTTTAAGAGGAAAGGTCCAAAGACTTGCTCCCACAGGTCCACTATTTCTGGGATGTGTGTTTGTAACTCTCAGGTGTGTGTGGGGTGAGGAAGTTGTGCCTCCCCCAACCCTGATAGGGCTGTGGTAGGTGCCCTGGGCAGGGTGGCAGCCTGCGATCGTAGTCAGCAGTTCATTCATGCAACCCATCTCGGATGGACAGGTGAGTTCAGCCCCTGCCTCCATCCCCATCCTCAGGGTCTCCTGGCTCTCATCAGGATGCCTGGGAGCTTTTCTTGTCCCTCAGGAGCCATCGGGAACCCCCATCCTGTGAGCTTCAGGTGGTTCCCTGGTCTCTCTGTGGCAGGAGAGCAGAAAAGCTGGCCCAGGAAGAGAGGTTTCCCAGAAGTGGCTGTGAGACTGTGTTCCAGGGCCAGCATCGCATTGCATTCTGCACTGTTTCTCAAACCTAGTGCCACAGATCGTTCTTTCCTGTCGGACAGGCCCACCTGGGGCATCCTTATCAGTTTGTGTTGGCAGCACCTTGCAGAGAGGTGGTGGGGGAGAACTGCAGGGTGGGCCAAGGTGATGTTATGTGGGCGGGAGGCCAGCCTTGAGAGGCAAAGTCGTACCTGGTGTCTACCAGAGGACGGCGGCTCCTGCTCTGGCTCACCCTGGCTGCCTTCTGCTTCCGCAGGTGGCGCTGCGGCTGGAGGACGGCGACGACACGGCGGAGCCAGCCCCGCACGGGCGCCGGGATCGGCGCAGGGCAAGCGTGTGTTCCGGGGCACCGGGGGAGACCCGGGGCCTGGACCGCAGGCGGAGCCGCCGGCACTCGGTGCAGAGTGCCCGGAGCCCGCTGTCGGCGCCCAGCAGCCCCTGCGCCCTGTCGGCACCTGCCTGCAAGCCCAGCCAAGTGCGAGACCTCTGTGAAAAGTAAGCTCCAGACTGCCCTACCGAGGGACTCCGGGCTGGAGGAGATGAGCAGCGATGTCCACCCTCTCACCTCTCTACCTGCTGCCCAAGTCACCTCCTGGCCGCATTCTCCCTGCAACCCCCCCAATACCCCCCCACCCCCTCCTCCCTATTCCCATGGGTCTTCCAGGGTGAGGTGGCCTTGGTGACATGCACAGATTTAATTATCTTCGCCTCCTTGGATTTTGGGGCATTTCACATGGCAGAGAATATCTATTTGGAATAGGTGTGCCCTCTCAAATGGTAAATAGTTTCAAACTACGGAACTTCAGCCTAGAAATAAAATGCGTGCGGTCACGTTAGATTATAATGACTTAAGCTAGGAGTAGCGTGCATCACAGAGGTTGGTTTTATTTAAAAAGCACAAATTTTCATGAATGGAAAGAAAAACAACATGAGGGGCCTGAAGTGATAGTATAGGAGGAGATCAGATCCAGGAGTAGCTTCTGAGCACCCCAGATGAGGCCCCAAATTACCACAACCACCCTAAAGCCCCATGTATAATAAATAATATTATATGCATGTGATATATGCATATATATGCTATATGTATTTATGCATATATGTATTATATACACACATTTTAGTAAAAACTAATACCATAATTTTTCTCAATCATTTAGCCAAGATTTTTATTAAGTTTGTTATTGGTCAGGGCAATTTTATGCCATGAAGATATTGAATAGAAAATATCTCTGTCTTTATGAATCTCACATGTGGGCTCGGAGAAAGTAAGAATGAGGGTAGCCAACGTAAGCTGTGAGGTTGCCTGAGGAGGGAGAAAGTAACTAACAATATGTTAGATGACCTTAAGAAAAACAGGGATCAAAACTTTTTATAATTTCTAAAAATAAGGGAAAGAGTGGTCAAGATATGTCTATTTTCTCCATCCATTAAGGAGAACCCACTTCTTCCACTGTGGAGAGGTGTTTCCCAATAGAATGGAGCTCACGGAGTCACTGGTGTGTGTGTGGGGTGGGGGTGGGGGGATAACCATGACTTGGTCCCTCCTATTGTAGAAGGAGGAAGTATGACAGGCTGCAAGCCACAGGCCATGTTTGCCTCTATAGGTGTTTCTTTTTCTAAGAGTCTTTGTACCACAGGTGTGAAGAAAAGATCTAAACCAGGGCATGAGAGCATCTGCCGTTCACATTGTCTCTCTGGCCTTCCAGAAGCTTGGTGCTCTGAGGGCACTGGAAGCTCTTCGTACCATCTCCTGAGCTGTGGTCTCTCGAGAGAGTTGAGGAAAGTGTCCACAATGAGCTCAAATGTTACAAAGATGCTGAGAGTAGGAATCCGGGGATGTTGGCGCAGTGTGAGTTCTCTGGCTTGGCCTGACTTGTGTGATATTTGCACCTGTTTTTCAAAAGTCCCTAATATGGATTCAGGTAATAGCATCTTGGGATAATTGAGCCAAAGTAACAAAAGTGCACACCATTTCTGCTTTCGAGGGCTGGGTTTGATGGGATCTGGAAGGAATAGGAGGGCCATGCTTGCTGCTTGTCTCGTTTCTTTAAAATAACACTGATTTTTAAATTTTACTGAAATTAGTGCTTTCACTTTAGTAGTGCTTGTTTACAAAAAAAGTATACTTTGTGGCTTACAGTGACAGTTTACCTTTTATAGATTGATGATTATGAAGTGGTATCATCCATGAAAGTTCTTGGAAGGATTTTTCCCTGTGTCCCCCAACCGGCTGTTCCATTTTTGGCAGACAGGAGAATGGAGTAGAGAGAAAAGGTGATGAGAAGTGAAATGGGAAGTGATCCCTGCACACATAGCTTAGTCACCTGTTCAACATCTGTGCCTCACTGTGTTACCTTAGAATCAAGACTTCCATTGTGTTAGATTCCCTGTAGACCCTGAAAGACATAGAAGCATGCCTGACCTAGATTACTCTGTATGAGAGTTCTGGCCCTACTTACTGCTCACTGCAGCAAAATGCCACCTAGACCACACGTGAGGAAATTTAGACTAGATTTTATACTCTTAGGCCTAACTAAAAGCCAGTCTAGGTTTTTCTCATTATCCAAAAGTTGAAGGTATCTGTTTGGTGTGTTCAGAAAGTTATTTTGGGAGAAATATCTCCACCCCCCGCCCTTTTGAGAATGCTAACAATTTTTTTCTTATAAATTAATGGCATTAGAATTTTTCAATTCTCAAACAATCAAGTCATACCAAATAATAATTAAGTTCTGTTTTCAGACAGTGAAGTGGGGGAGGGGGAAATCTGTCTATTTGGAAAGGTAAAGTTATGTTAGAGATTAGAAATATTTATCGTCTGTGAAAATGATTGACATTTTGCTTTAAGATGGTTCCTTTCATGTTGTTTGAACTGAATCCTCACCATGATTCTCTGTAGGGTCAACATAGGCAAGGTAAGTGTCACTGTCCTCCTTGACTAGTGATAAACAAGTCAGGAGTACATGCCTTGTGACTAACAGCAGAAAAGGATGAGCAGAGAATCCAAGTCAAGACTTTGAGCCTTATCTCTCAGTATTCAAATGCAGAACCCCTTCCCAATCAGTCATTCCTAGACAGTCCTTGAACAGGAGTTTACTTCTGGCTTATTAGGGAGGGGAATAAGATCTAGTGCTGGTGTATGTTTGGGGGGGGGGTTGTCGGGGGGCGAGGAGTTAAATTTAAAAAATTTAAAGGTGAAAAGGAGAAAAATAACAGAATATTTATAAATTTAAGACTACTAGATGATTTGATGGGTTTTAATCAAGATATTAGCTATCCATTGCTTTGTATTTATGAAGAACTCTAGAAGCTGGAGTGATAGTACAGTATACTTGCTTGCCTTGCACTCGGTAGACCCAGGTTTAATCCTGGCACCTGATATGTCCCCCAAGCCTCAGGAATGATCCCTAAGCACAGCCAGGTGTGACTCCCCGAAAAAGCAAAATATAAATAGAACTCTACACTGGGTATTGAGCAGAGAAGATCTGGGATTAATGATTCTGTCACCGAAGGGCATCTTTTGTGACTTGTGTGCCTTAACGAGCTTCCTTTCTCTTCTTAAAATATCGATTCAATTGTGAGGAAAAGCTGTTGGGGTTCTTCCCGGTTTTACCAAAACTAATTTTGAGCATTTAATTAGAAAAATAACCAGTGTCTTTATTAGCATTGCAACTGTAAGTCATCTGAGGACTGATAGATCTTCAACCTGTTTTTACTTAGACCCAGAAATGTTTCCTGTGTACTGCTAGTTCAGAATCTCCACTGAGGAACTATGTTCTGTCCCTGAGCTTCTGTGCTTGTTAGGAATACCTACTGACCTAAATTTGCTCCATAGTGTTATAGATCTATTATTGCTTAGTGTTCCATTATACATTTCCTATTCATCCTGTTTCTTATTACTGTCAGCACAGATCAGTCTTCCTGCACTGTATGTTAGTGTGTGTGAGCATGGCATAGGACTTCATATATGAACTTCAGGTTTCATCTTGTTGATTTTCGCACAACATTCCAAATGATGGAGGTCATTTTGAACCTCACTCAGTCAGTGGTGTTACAGTTGTGCCATCCAGCTTTCAGTCCTGTGTGTATTTTAATGCAGATGAAAAAGAGACCCACAGGTGATGACAACTTGTTGGGTGTGGCTGGTACAGACTACTTCCACCTGCCTCAAAGGCAAGGATTGGAAAACTCTCTTGCTAGGACCAGATACTAAATACGCTAAGCCTCTCTGCCAGTTGGTCTCCGTTGCAACTGCTCAACTGAATTCTGTCTAGCAGAAAAGCAGCTATATATAACAGGTATGGCTACATTCCAGTGAAACTTATTTATGACACAGAGATTTGAATTTTATATGTCATGAATTATCTTTGGATGTTTTTTCTGTCATTAAAAAATGTGGAAAACATTCTTAGCTGACACTGTACATAAACTGGTATTGGATCAGATTTAGCTTATAGATGGTACTTTGCCAATCTCTTTTCTAATGGACTGGTTTCTTGAGAGAGTTGTGGGGGAAATGAGCTGGGGTTGGCAAAGACAACAGTTGGGGGGGAGAAAAGAATCCATCGTGCCATATGAGAGGGTTGTTGAGAAAAGCGTTCTTAAGTTCAGAGCTAGAAGGAATGTTTCATGAGTGGTCAGGACTACAGGGACTCTACTGCCCACAATTCCCAAGACACAGGTTGAGAAGGTAGTCAAGGGTAAGAGATTAGTCAACAGAGGGACATGAAGAGCACATAGAGAGAAGGTGGTCTGGGGATGAGTCCAGGAAGGGTTACTTGGGAGGTTAAGGCAGCCTGGGATCTGTTCTGCTGGCGCCCAAATGTAGTGGTTGTCAACCAGAGATAATTTTGTCCTGAAGGAGTATGTCTGCACAATTTTTTTGTGCAGTCTGGAAGCACTTTTGGTTTACACAACTTGGGTGAGAGTGCTGTGCCATCTAATAACCAGAGTGCAGGGATGCTACTAAATATTCTGTAAAGCACAGTACAGCCTTTCACAGTAAACAGTGTTTGAAGATGCCAGAAGTGCTGACTCTAGGAAGACCTGTCATAGGGGAATTCAGATCATTTAATTCCTCGCTTCTGGGATGATCATAGCCTGGAACAGAGTTTAGAATCAGACTATTCTAGACCAGAGCCTACACCAGGAACCTAAATTCCTGAGCTGGTCTTTGAATCTATAAAAAGTGGTCAAAAGGAACCAGTTTTACCTCTCTTCGGGATGACTTATATTTGTTAGGAATGCAAAAAGAAATCTTTCAGAGAAAATGCTTATTAAAATTTTTAATTCTAATGAGCAGTATTGTGTATAGCTGATTTTTTATTTTGTTCCTTAAATAATCATTGTGATTTGCTTGTTTCTCTCTTGAATTGGCACTGAGTAGTACAGTACCTGAAGAGGTATACTAAAAAATAAAAATTTTAAAGAACAGTGACATCAGCACCTTCCCATTTCATCACAAAGATCCATAATCTTGGTGCTGGGGGAAGGAAGGA